AGAAAAATATTTCCTACACTCTTCCCTGTGATTTCATCATATGTTGAATCAAAAATAATTTTTTTTTTCCCAATTGTTCAATGACTATTCCTCGTAACTTAGTCATTATATGGAAAAATGTTTGAAACGTTGATAAAAAATTAAAATCAAATCAACAATTAATTTTAATCGCATATTTTATTAGAATCACAATTTTATCAACATTTTAAGAACACATTTCATTATTTTTTTTTTATCAAAATCCGCTAAAATTCAAATTTATTGAGCCTTGAAAAGAAATTAAAAAAAATTGGTCGAGGTTCTTTCACTTCCCCCTTTTCCAAAAAGCTCTAAGTTTTCATTCAACTAAAAATATTATTTTATCCCTGAGATAATAGTTCATCACTGAGAAAAATATGATATCACCAATGGACTTCATAATATTATCAATTATGGAAAGAATGCTATTTTGAAGTCACCTATTGACTAATTATCAACTTCACTGTGAAAGTAGCTATCGAAATCGCCAACAATACTATCATCAACTCTTTTATATGTGACGAACCATTGGAGTCGATACTTATCCATCAATGAAATATCCACTTGTGATACTAATTACAACGATCCAATTCTCCAACATTATTCACATTCTTGTTGACATTCTTTGCTATATCATAACTTTGTTTAATTAATAACTTTGCTATATCATAACAAAATTTTGAAACCCTATTCAACTATGGTTTAGAAGTCCTTTATCTGTTTTCAATTTTTTTCATCAAAAACATTTCAACAATCTAAATCAGATTTAGGATGAATTTATATAAATTTTTTGTCTTTGTTACATTGTTTTTAGCAAATACAACTAATGTGAGTAACTTTTCCTCTTAGAAATAAAATCAAATGAAGCAACAAACTTTAAATCATATATTCCATTCGACTCGCAATCTTAATTCGAGAAGTCATCTGTACGTTTAAGCTTTTGACCTTTAGAGATGTTTGAAACTCATCAATAATTAAGGCCGACATATTTAACAAGAATTTTACTTATCTAGCTAGATTGATGGACGAGACGAAATAACGAAAGCAAATTCTATTTAAATTTTAGAACAATTTTGCTGATGGATTTGTCCTCTTGTAAAGTGTATAGTTACATGCTCATTTGTCTCTATTATACATTGTTCCTGGTCTTTTCAAGAAAATATTGTAGGGCATTGTCACAAGATTGAAGATTGGATTTGATAAATCTATTGCTACACATTGAATTGAATGTTTGTCCTATTACTTTTTTGAGAAAATGGGAAAGAAAATCAATTTAGAAAAAATAAAATAAAATATTTAGGCGTCTAGTGAACATGGCACTGCCCATCTGGGGATTATTACAAGTTCATTGGAACAACATATCATGTGATCTTAAAGCATCAATTCATCAAAAAATTCGTTTTATTTCTAGAATGGCATGTGAGACA